GTAGGCTTCTCTTGGGGGGAAGTAGATAAGAGGAGAAAACACTAGAGATAAGGCAAGGAGATTGGGAGCAGCCGAACCTCTCTTCTCTTCTCTTCTATTCTCTCCGCCCCTCTCTTCTTGATTCTCTGATTTTCTTGGAGTTTTCACCATAACCATGCGTGGATAAACTCTTGTACTTGGTCGAAGGAAGCAGAAGCCTCAGAATCCACCAAACTATGAGATCTAATTTGGTTTTTATTGTTTGATTCATACTTTGGATATCGAATGTTCTTCTATATTTATGTCTATGATTGATTCGTTTGATTGCTAGGAAGGCCTACTAGCTTATTATTCGTTACAATCTATTGCTAGATTAGATATCAAATTTGTAATTGTTTGATCCCTCTAATCTACGAAGCAACTAAGGTTTAATGATTTGCTACGTCAGAAATTGTTAGATCTTAGGAAAAACACTTGACTGAATTAAATGCAACCGCTTGTGCTTGTGTTGTTTAGCTTCATCGATCTCTAATGCTTAATGTTATTGCTGGATTAAATCTTTAACACTTGTTTAGGGGTTGTTCAGAAGTAAGGGTTAAGATAATCGCTTGTTTTCCGATTAACTGATATTAGGAAGATGCAGGAAAATAATTCCTACGATGAATATTCAAATTCTGAATTGATTTATCTTTGCATCGATGAGCAGTAGTGAAATTATGATGGTGGATGTTATCCTAAACCAAGATTCGTTCTTTTGGTTAATTACAGCACTCTAAATCGCCTTGCTTCTAATTTAAATTTTGTTCTCTTTAATTCTGATTTTCCTTCTTTCAATTCTGCTTTTCGTTACACACACCTCCATCTTTGATTCACGTAGCACACAATTCAGGTTAGATATTCTCTGTGGGAACGATCCTTACTCGCACTACTACATTTTATTCTCACGAGTATAGGTTTTATTTTTTGGTGCCTACGACAACACGCCAAATTTTGGCACCGTTGCCGAGGAGTATTCCAATCAGTTTTGTGCTTCTCATGATCATTGTTTAGTTCTTGAAATTTTTGGAAAAAAAATTCTTTTTTTTCTATAGATCACTTTGATTGTTTGTGTTTTAGCATAGATTATTTTCTGTTTTATTCATTTATTTATTTATTTATTTGTTCTAGATTTTTATTTTTATTTTTATTATTTTTATTTGTTTTATGGTATGTCGTTTAGAGTTTATTAGGGTTTCCTTAATTCATGCATGTAACCCAATTCTCTAAGGTAAATTGCAGTTCGATCCGGAAATAGAAGGGACTTTGCGCAGGTTAAGGAGGGAAGTTCGGAGTCATTCCGAGGAGAACGATCCAGCCTTCAATTCTCTATCTGTTAGCGGATATGATTTGAGAAAAGAGGACATCATGGCCGGAAATCGAACCTTGAAAGAGCTTGCTACACCGGATTTAAATCAGCAACCCTTATGCATAACTTTTCCTGCTTTAGATGTTGATGTTAATTTTGAATTAAAATTTGGATTAATACATCTCTTACCTATTTTTCATGGTCTTGCAGGTGAGGATTCTCACAAGCATTTGAAAGAGTTGCATGTGGTGGTGTGCACGAGTATGAAACCCACGGGAGTAACTGAAGAGCAAATCAAATTGAGAGCCTTCTCGTTTTCTCTAAAGGATTTGGCTCTATTATCTACCCTCCGGGAGTGTTACCACATGGAACAAAATGAAGAGGTTATTCTTAGAGAAGTACTTCCTAGCTTCAAGGGCGGCCAACATCAAAAAAAGAAATATGTAGTGTAAGGCAGTACAACGGGGAGTCCCTACATGAGTACTATGAACACTTTAAAAAATTATATGCAAGCTGTCCCCATCATCAAATCAGCGAACAACTACTTATTCAGTATTTTTATGAGGGACTTCAACCTACTGATAGGAGCATGATCAATGCTGCTAGTGGAGGGGCTTTAGTAGATAAAACTCCCGAGGCCGCGAGAAATCTGATTGCAAATATGGCGGCCAATTCTCAGCATTTCGGCTATAGGCTTAACCCTCCAGCAAAGCATGCTAATGAGGTAAATATCTCTTCCCTAGAACAACAAATTGCAAGTCCGACATCTCTTGTTCGTCAAATGGTTGCAGGTAATATGCAAACGGTGAAGGATTGTGAGATATGTTTGATAGTATGGCATCCAACTGATATGTGTCCAACTCTTCAAGAGGAGCCCGTTGAGTAAGTGAATGAAAGAATGGTAAGATCCATCATATGGACACCAAAAAGGTTGTGGAATGGGTGGATGAATTTCAAAAATTTCTTACCATTCTTCCAATTGGGAATCATATTCACTGAATTTAGAATACAGTATTCAATGATCTAACTTGAACCAAAACAGAACCATATCTGAACCACAAGAAAAGGGAAGGGATATACCTGATCCGGAGAAGCAGTATCTCCCAACGTTACTGTTCACGCCCAAAGAAAAGATCCAAGAACTGCTCCCACTAAAGATGACAGTGATGATGGAGCAAAACCAGTAGTGTTCGTCCCACGAGGCAGGTTCTTCTCAAGAACTCGATGGAAGTAGAGAGCACCACACAAGATCAAGAACTTTTCTTGATCTTCCTTCACAGAGAACTCGAACTGGCAGTTAAATGGCGGCGACTGCTGGAGGAGAAGACTAGAAAAGAAGATGGCGAGCTGCTTTTCTTCTCTAGGGTTTCTGAGATCCTATCTCAAAAGCAGAGTGTTTTGCGAAAATTCCTTAGGGTTCGAATTCTTGTAATTTGACTTGGGGTTTTCTCCTCCCTTTCTTAGTGATTAAGAAACCTCCTAATCCCATTAGGAGTTATCATAATCCAAATTTGTATTTAGATAAAGAGTCTTCTTAATCTTATCTGCAGATTAGATCAGTCCATTCTTGATCTTATCAGGAGATTACTAGATTCAAATCCTAATTTGAATTTGGTCTCTATAAGTGGATAAGGTTAAGACTCATTCTTTTTGGCTTAACATAATCTTAGATCCACCCATTTAAGTGATTGATCAAATCAGCCCAGTTCGAAATGGACTTTAGGCTCAATATGTATAAGCACTCAATAGGCTTCCAAACTACTGCCCAGTTGGGCTTCTTTGTATAGCATGGGACCCAAGCATTAATCTACACATCAACTACATGGGTTCGGCCCAGCCTCTGTTACAAGTCCTAACCGAATTCACTACAAAGCCCAATGAACCCCCTAAGCCCATCACATGGACTATATGGGCCCAACACTTATACTAAGTAGTCTCAGGGTCAAGTCATCTTATAAAAACCCAAGAACCGTGGAAAGATGCAAGATTAGCCCATCAAGTATAACCCTAAATGGCCTTACATTCAACCTCTCAGCCCATAATGATCAAACACTGCCCGACAAGAGAGGACATCTCCCTCGGCCACGAAGAACAGTATTGCACTCTGTTCACATGGATATTGGGAATTAAAACCATTTGCAAACATTTTGAAACCATGCATATATATAAATTTTGCAAAACAAAATTCCAACAATTGAAATCAACTGCCGACAGTTTGGTTTCCATCAGAGAGAGTACATCCCCGATCATTACCTTTGTCCGACAAAAGGGTTGATCCTATCACTATGATCACCCACTCAGATTTCTCAGACTGCCCCAACATACCCAGGTTTTAACTCCCACTAAGGATCTCACTGATTGGCATATCAAAAACAGCCCAATCCAACACCTAGTGAAATATCATAATCGAGTTTAAGGGTCAGGTGTAACTTTTCAGTTTTGCCCATCAATCTCCAAGGTCCAGGGCAATACTGGAAATCTGGTCCGGTTTAAATATTCAATTTATCCTACACTACATGTGCCTTGGGTCTTACCCTAGCAGCTGAGACAGGCCACCCCAACACTTTGCAGCACACTAGTGGCACTGTGTGCTACCCCAACACTTGGCAGCAAGTTTATTATTCGTTACAATATATTGCTAGATTAGATATCAAATCCGTAATTGTTTAATCTCTCTAATCCGCGAAACAACTAGGGTTTAATGATTTGATGCGTCAGAAATTGTTAGATCTTAGAACACTCGACTGAATTAAATGCAACCGCTTGTGCTTGTGTTGTTTAGCTTCATCAATCTCTAATGCTTAATGTTATTGCTGGATTAAATCTTTAACACTTGTTTAGGGATTGTTCAATAATAAGGGTTAAGATGATCGCTTGTTTTCTGATTAACTGATATTAGGAAGATGTAGAAAAATAATTTCTACGATGAATATTCAAAGTCTAAATTGATTTATCTTTGCATCGATGAGCAGTAGTAAAATTATGATGGTGGATGTTATCCTAGACAAGATTCGTTCTTTTGGTTAATTACAGCACTTTAAATCGCCTTGCTTTCAATTTAAATTTTGTTCTCTTTAATTCTGATTTTCCTTCTTTCAATTCTGCTTTTCGTTACACACACCCCCCCTCCATCTTTGATTCACGTAGCACACAAATCAAGTTAGATACTCTCTGTGAGAACGATCCTTACTCGCATTACTACATTTTATTCTCACGAGTATAGGTTTTAGTTTTAGGTGCCTACGACAACACGTCACACCCCTAATTCAACCACCTTGTTAAATATCATATAGACATATAGAGATAATCGTAATAATAATAATAATAATAATAATAGTAATAGGTCGTTGACCGATTCCAAACATCTCTGCAATCAAATATGAAATAGCAAGATGAGAGGTAGACCAGTTTTCACCGATTAGGTGAGTCATAGCCATCCTTTCCAGTGTATGAGCGACCCTATTACAACTTCTAGCCTTCTGGGAGCAAATGCATCCAAGAGGAAACCAGGATTGCTGTTTAATTATAATGTGACAGCAATCTCCTAAGATGGGAAAAGTCTTCCATTGCAAAGATGATCAATGGTCCAATAGGCCCTTCACAACTACGTCAACATCAAATTCCATCACCACGCTGTGTAATCCCAATTCTCTGCTTGTAGATAAAGCTACCTTAAGAGTCATTGCCTCTACTTCAGTCAATGATCTAACCAGAACACATAGAGACTTGCACCAGCAGAACTGACTTTCATGGTTCTAAGAAATCAAACCCATGCCCATATAATTACCTTCTAGAGCCTAATTCTTCTACCCACATAAGCATACACATCACATGTGAGTAGTTACATAAAAATGAACCAAAAATGAAAGATGGTTTATAATCTAAATTTCATAATCTTTCGTTATCTAAAATTTGTGGGTAGTTACACTCTATGCTACATGTTTAAGGAGAACAAAGAGGACGTGAGGACTGAGGAACTTGTTCATCCATATTAACAACCTTTTTTTATTTTTGAGGAATTTGAAAAGGAAAAAAAAAAGTTTGATGTAAAAAGAAAATGGGATGAAAGGATTTATACCAACATTGTCAATGGAATCCTGGACTGAATTTTAGTTCTTCCGGAACTTTCTAGGCTTCTAGAGAATCTTGGATCCAATTTCTAGTCTGCCCTTTATTTGGATTGGGTGAGCCCCATATATGATCTTCTTGGGTCCAATAAGCAAGGAGGCCTATGACAAATATGACAAAAGCAAACATTCTTTTGTAATCAATAAATTAAAATAATTACCATGTGACAAAATCAATTAAAAACAACCCCACATGTTGCAGAATGGTTAACATTGATCAAATGATGAAGGTAGGTTTAATTTTTTCTTTCCACTGTTTAATTTTTAAAATTTGAGAATCACCATTATTTATCATGCCATCTTCAATAACCATAACTAAATAGGGAACTCAATGTTGTAGCACCCCAAGACATTAAGAGCCAAAACTAATAATAACTACAGAATGTCCTCTAAAAAATGCCTCTGTGATCATTTCTTGAGATAGCTTGGATCACCAAAACCCACAACCCTTTGGTAGATACCCAAATAGAAACTGTATACAAATTAGTAAAAAAAAATATCATTTATCTTTTGTCACTACTGACATCAAGGAAAAATGAACTTTCCAATATCCATAACTCAAATGGGAAGTTCAATTGAATAAAAATGAACAAATTCTATTAATTACTAGAAGGAAAAAAAAAAAAGCAACAAACAAAATCTATCTTTATGAATAGGTAATTAACCAAACATCAATTAAAGGTTGTAGAAGTTCAAAGAAGTCATCACCTTTCATATGCTAGGATAAGTTCCAGTACCATCCATTATGCCTTATGATGCTAATCTCTTCAATTCAATCATATGTATTGTCTTCCAGGTGAGCAGCTGACTGCAAAGCAATATAAGAAAAGTCAATAATATCAAATCTTATTCAAAATAAGCCCAAAAAGAAAAAAAATTACAAACTCCAATTTCCCATTGTTATGTTGAACAAGTTTGCTGGTCCATGAAAGCTCCATGTTTTTGTTGTTTCACCCTGTCATTATGTGGGCTTCAGCTACCTCTGGCTGGGTCTAAGAAGCCTAATTTCTAGGAACCCTTTTCTATTGAAGTTTAGCTAATGTTTTTGGGTTTGGAAAATCTAACTCATTGTTTGCTGACATATGGAGAGGACCATTTAAAGCTTCTCTGAACACCTGGCTGCATCAATCACTGCCTCTAAGGGCATGGATAGAATCATAGAATAACATTTCATTAGACAACTATTAGAGAGAAGAGTAATCATACGGTTAATACAATTATAACCAGTGGCAAAAAAAGCATAAATTGAACCTAGTCCTTGACCATCAAACATACTTAACAAACAGGTCCACCACAAAACACCATACAAACTTTCATCAAGTAAACAAGAACTTTTTTGGTAAAACAAAATAGGTACTTGATACTAATGGAATCAAGTGGTACTCTCAGAAATTGCAGTCTTAGTGATCTTCTATGGAGGGAAATTAATTCAAAAAATAAAAAAAGAAATCCATGCAACGACACTAGGCAGATGGCAACCCAAGATGGTGCACCTTCAGGCCAAAAGCAGAACAAGGATGTTCTTCAAATCAGGACAAAAACAGAAAAACTGTGATATGATCCAAACTTTCTGCCAATTACTGTTAATAAATAACGGAGCATAAATAGGAAGAAAGAAACTTCAGGATATTTTCAGAAGCTGGGAGAGGGGTGGAAGAACTAAAGGCTATCATTCATATTAGGGCTGTACAGTAGCTGAAATCTTTGGAACTATTCACAGATTACACAATGGATGACATGTTGAGGGAGTGGGGTAAAATAGCAAAATGCACACAGACCAAGTCAGTAATGAGCGTGTCTTGGACCCCTCCACCTACTGGATTCATGAAATTAAGCTTTGATGGGAGTAGTAGGGGGAACCCTGGATAATCAGAGATTGGGGATGTCTTTAGGGATGAGAATGGGGCCATTTTTGCCATGTTCTCAGGCCCAATTGGAGTGGATGACTCCCTTAGAGCTGAGATCTTTGCAGTTTTGGAAGGAGTCCAAAAAGCTAAGGAGATGAACATCAGAAAACTCCTAATTGAAGGGGATTCGGAGGTGGTGATAGGGTGGCTGAATGCAGACAGCAATGGTTTATGGAAGTACAGCAATCAGAGGAGGAAATTTAAGTGGCTGGTGCGGGAGATGTAAGTTAAGATGTGCTACATTAAAAGATCAGCCAATTCTCTAGCTGATGGTTTAGCTAAACAAGGGGCAGAAAGGGATTCAATGTTTTGGGCTAAGTTGTAACTTTATTGTCTCTCCCTATTCTTTTGTTTTTCTTGAGGACCTTTGTTGTACTTGGAAGATAAGTGTGTTTGTCTTCCTTTTGTAACTTTTTTGGTGAATTAATGAAATTGTTATTGATCAAAAAAATAAATAAATAACGGAGCATAATGGAGTCTCTTTTAATATTATGAGACACAGGAGCATGGAATTTTCATCCTCATCCTCCCTGGGCAAAGTGCAACTTCCTAGGTTTATTCATCTTTTCCAAAACCACCTTTAATGTTAACCAAACCAAGAACAACAATATTTTGCTGTAATGTTTACCAATTACCATACACAAGGGAGGATGCAATTCATTATTTAATGGATCATAATATCATTTTCCAAATAGAATACATACACACCCAGGCCAATGGCATCAGAGCTTTTCATGACCCTCAACCGTTTGCATGAATCAATAAACATCCTATCATATCCACAAGTTCATTTTCACAAAACAATAGGGATGCAAAAAGCAAATTATTTGAGACAAGACTTAAAACCAAAATATATATCAAACTTATCCATCTTATTAGAAAATCAAACATTTAAGCCAACTAACCAATAGTGGAGGTTTTGTAGGTATTAACCAATATCTTCTTATGACAATTCTTTAAAAAAATGGCTCCCTGTTAGATGCTTTAAATTCCATTTGTAACTTTCTTTATGTAACATTCAGCACATAAGAACAACCAAACCATGGATGGAGTTGACTTTTTGTAAACTCCACAAGAGACGAAAGATACACCCCTAAGTTATAGATACTAATTGCTTTTGTTTCTTCCTTTGCTAGAGCATGTTTGTCTAGATTTCACCTCTACATTGTTTTTACAAAAGACATTTTTTGTGAACACCACAAAAGGCATGGAAGACACACCCCTAAGTTATAGATACTATCATAAATGCTACTATCATGGTAGAATGCAATACACCGACATCCCCCTTGAACTATGTATCAAATAAAATTACAGCAAACTTCTCAAATGGAATCATCTCCCATGCATTTTTGAGTTGTACTCGAGCTCATTACCTATGCATTTTTGAGTTGTATTCCAGTTCTTTAGCCACATATGGAGCTGCAACTAGGGGGCCTAGCCTGAGCCCAATTGGGTTCAACTTGTGCTTTTGCATGGGCTGGATTTAATTATAGAGACAACCGCCTGACAAAGAAAAGAAAAAAAGAAGAGGCACACCTTTGTAAGTATAATATCTAGGGGATCAGTCCCAGCCTTCGATTCGGCAAAACTCCAGTTGGCTGGTGTCGTAGAAAAGAAAAGATAGAATTAATAAAAAAAATAAGAATTGAACGAGGTTTAAGATGTAGGATCCAAAGGGAAAAGAAAAGATCTAGGTTTCAAAGAAAAATTTACCTCGACTGCCATCTCAAAGGTCTGATTGAGTCATTGATGACATGAATCAAGAGGCCAAGGCTACGAGGCTTCGGGCAAACAATGGGAGATAGAGAAGGGGCTCCTCTCGTCACAGGATGCAAAGGCGCTCTGAAGGCTGCAATGATTCATCTTCGCCGTTTGTTTGGGATATGCAGAGAAATGCCTCTAAAGGGAAAAACAAAAAAACAAAAAAAAAAGAGTGGAAGAGAGGGTGAACACTATGGCCATAAAGATTCAAACGAAGACATGGAACGTATTTCCAAAGAAGAAGCCCTAGCTAAAAGAATCAAATTCTAACCATGACTGAAAGTCAAAACTTTCACAGGCAGAAAGAAAAAGTTTGAATACCTGAAAACGCAGAAAGAAAAAGTTAAAATTAGCTACAACGATGAAACCAGCAAACAAAATCAAGAGATAGGGTTAACGGAGTAGATTAAATCGTTGTTAACGGAGTCGGAGAGACCAAACACAGAGTCAGAGTGTTCAATTCAGACTCCAAAGTCGTTTATTGTGAAGTTTGACGCGAACAATCTGGTGGGAAGCGTCGCTGCAATCTGGAGCCATGAGAGGGAGAGTGAGGCGAGCAGGGAGTTTGGCTTGAGATGGAGGTGATATGGGGTCATGGGGGGACAAGGAGGGAGAGGAAGTCGAGACTCGAGAGATCGAGAGAGAGAGAGGTTGGACCTCCAGATTCGAATTCAAATTTACTTGTGACACGTATAAAATGGAATAATAGCGAATCTTTGGGGTAATTGAGGGAAAAACAATTGAAAAACACCGTTAGATCTTAAATAGTGAATATTCGGTATATAGTAGCGGAATTGTAACAAAAATACAATAGTTTTTTAATAAGAAACTTGTAATTATAAGTACTTAAGTCTTGAAATTCATATAAAGACTCAAAAGAGATCATCATATGCTCGTTTTTTAAATATTGTTTCAGCAAAGCATCTCATATAAAAGAACATTATCATACAGATAGTTCTAAGTTCTACTTCATAGAATCGAAAACTCCCAGTTGACCCGAACGGTAGGACCATTCGGCCCAGGAACCATCTAGGCAATCAGTTCCGTTTTACCCCAAACCCGGTCCCTAGCCAAAAATCGTTGAATCAGTCCACGACCCGTTGACTCGAGCAGTCGACCCGTCGACCCATTCAACGGTTTTTGGCCATTTTTTATTTTTATTTATTTATTATTTTTTAATTTTTGTTGTTAGAACGGGCCATCCGTTCGAACCGAACGATCATGAAAAGGGTGGACATTGCAAGGGATTCCAAAATCTTGAAAGATAAATCCAAAGTGACCTTAAACACAGAAAAAAAAATGGTGGTAAACTCACCAAACTGGAAAAACCAAGGAAAAAATTAGAAAATCAAGTCTAAAGTTTCGCTTTTAGATGGAGCTAAACATACATTCAACCAAAGAAAGAGACAAAGCAGTTCGTCTTGTAAGAAAATAAAAAAGAAAAAACATTGCACAAGAAAGCCCAAAGAAAAAACAAAAGGGAAGAAATAAAATGGTGGTAAACTCTAGACCGTTTTGGAGGATCTTGAGGAAGAAAACCAAACACAAAGAAAAAGCATAAAATGAAAAAAAAAAAAGAACATATTGCACACGCTCGAATAAAGCCCATACTAGAATAAGCCTTTGAATAATGAAAATCCAAAAGCATAAAAAACCATGGGTTTTGAACCGTTGTTGACTTGGACGGACAGACACTTTGGCTCAGGAATCATCCAGGCAACCGGTTCCATTTTACCCTAATCCTAGTTCCTGGCCAAAAGTCATTGAATCGGTCAACGACCTATTGACCTGGGCAATCAAACCATCAACTCATTGACTCGTTCATGGTTTTTGGCCATTTTTTATTTTTTAATTGGGAACCGTCCATGCAACCGGTTCCGTTTTATCCCAAGCCTAGTCCTTGGCTAAAAACCGTTGAATCGGTCAACGATCCATTGACCCGTTTAATGGTTTTTGGCCATTTTTTTATTTTTTTTAATTTTTGTTCTTAGAATGGGTCGTCCGTTCGAACCGGATGGATGGACCACCGTTTTTTTTTTTTGTAAGGGTAAATTTCTTAAACTACCCCTACTATTTGGTTAATTAACAAATGGTACCCTTACTGTTTAACTATTGTCTTATAATACCCCTAAGTTTTCTAACAATTGACTAGATCTACCCTTGTAGCTAGCATCCGTTAATTTCCCGCTAAAATCCGTATACACGTGACGCTATGTGACTTTTAAAATTTTTAAAACCCAATATTACCATCATCCCTTTCCTCTAGACCGGCAGCCCCTACCTCCTCTAACCTCTCTCTCTTCCCTCCATCATTCTCTTTCTTCATGTTCTCCTTCAAATTTGTCATCGTTATTTTAGGTTTTAGAAACCTATTCCCCACAGTCTCTCTCCTCACAAGAATGTTGAGGACGACGTCTCTCTCACTTGTAGGTCCCAAATCTTCTACTGGAACACGAAACATAGTCGCAAGTCCCAGATCTACAGACGGGTGTGATCTTCTCCTTTTTTTAAAGTCGTCTGACCACCAGGGGAGGAGAGGAAGAGAGGAGAAATCTTGTCAACAAAAAAAATTAGGGAGTTACAGATATGGAAGGGGGACGGAGGAAGAAGAAAATAGGGAGAACGAAGAGGGGAAGGGGGTGTCAGTGCCCTCTTCGAATGCGAGTCAAGAAGCAACGATGGGAGTTGTAGATCTGGGAGGGGGCGGAGGAAAAAGAAGAAAATAGGGACGACGAAGAGGAGAGAGAGAGGCGTTGCTGCTGCAGCAACGGCGGTGATGAAACAGGGGCGATAGGGAGAGAGAGAGAATGAACGACACTTGTTACTGCACTTGCCACAATTGCTGGCGTTGTAGGTTACATTGGTGCAGCTCCCATGGCAGCAAAGCTCTACAAATCCACACTTGTGCCCGCACCACCCACAGTTGTTATGGTCTCCAAGAACATTGCAACAATGCGTCTTGCAACACAGAAGAAGCCTGGTCCCGTTGTTCACCGATACCCCATTACAGATGTTGTTCCTAGAGACATCATAGTGTGCACCCTTCCTGATTCTGGCGAGGAACCGCTTTCCGACGAGGGCATTGGTGAAGGGGTTGTCCACCACATAGTCTTCACCATCTTCTATAGCCTGGGAGAAAACGATGTGGGTGTGTAGGATCATAACCAAAGCAAGGATTACAGTTATAGAGAGGATGGTGGGAAGCTTGAAGAAAGTAGTGGCCATTCTCTCTCGAGGGAAGGCGTCCATGAGAGTGAGGAGGGCAAGAGATGAACTGGGTATTTGAGAATGCGGCTATCTGATAAAATTGATTAAGAGAAGTTTCTATTGTCAGTCTTTATGGGTTTTAATTGGAAGCCTAGCTAGATTCTAGCTTCCATGAATTATGAGTTATTTACTGTGCTACTACAAATAATTCTGGGGTGGTAGGATAGGAAGAGAGAAGGTGGTAGGACAGGAAAAGATGCCATTTACTGTGCTACTGCTCATAATTCAAGGGTTCTTTTGGTCTCTGAACATAGTGGTGGGGTCTGATTGGTCAAATTAGGTTTGGATTATGGATATTTGTGGCAGGTGAGCTTTTAATCAATAAGATTCGCCAAAACAGAATCAAGGCTTGATGTTGGGTCAAATGAGGGAATTTTGGGATAAAATTTGGTGGGTAGGTATGGATTGAGATTATGAGGCTGTTGGAAGGGTTTGATCGTGTTAGGTATGTACAGATCACGGGTTTTAGGTTCAAGGAGCGTTGAAATGGAATCTCTGGTGGATGTTGGCTAAATCCAAGAATTTAGGGTTGAAAACTTGTGTGGTTGTTTTTTTAAGGGTTTTGTTTCACGTGATGGAATTTGGTTGGAGATCAAGTATGGAGATGTAGTATAATCAAGACCCTCAAAAGGGAATCATGTAAATTTAATGGATTTATGGGCATTTGGACTAAATTTTGGTTTCTTAGGGTTTTGGCATGTTTTAAAGTGATTGGTGTGGTCCGATCAGGCATCCGAAATGTGGAAGATGGGTCAAAGAAGGGACCGAGAAAAAATTGGGTGCTAACACCAGGTGCACATGGCGACCCCAGATGACCATACCCCTCAAGGCTGAATTGCATCTCGGCCGTCTGCGCCCGCCTACCTCCAAGCGACCTCAAATATAAATAGGGGGCAATCTTCTCAAGGTAAACATCTGGAACACAGGCCTAAGAATATTGAGAATTCTCCAGTCTCTCTTGTGGCCTCGTCCACTTTGCACTACACCCGAACTAACTTGACCATCGAAGTCTCTGCCTTGGGTACCAACCCGGGGCCTTTGACGTCTCTCTTCTATGATCCTCACAGGACAGACCTACCAACCCTCAGCCAACCTCAGCCTCGGACTCCTTGGCTACGCCTCGTCTCAGAAGTGAATTGGCAACGTTGCCCTCAACCCATTCCAACCAGCAAAAGGTCCAATTCAGACCAATAAGAATATGGACCAATTTATTTTGGGCTGGTCCAATCAATTAATTATATGGACTGTCCAAATCCGATTTGATAAGATTTGGATCGGATTGGATCCAACCCAAAACCAACCGATTGACACCCCTGATAATCAATAGTTAAACTATTATTTTGCTAAGATAGTTGAACTATTGAAGTATAGCAAATCCAATCAATCTAATGTATAGTAGCTGAAAATTCAGCTATGCTAGTTTAGCACAACCTTTCAAATGAAGGATTTAGTGTTTGAAATAGTGGATAAATTAATACCATATATTCTAGTTATCATATAGCTGACCCCATATAGTTGGGATAAGGCATGGATGATGATGGTGATTCTAGTTATCATATAAATTATATTACTTAGTTAAAAAAAGGTGAATAAATTAATATAATAAATGGAGATGAATCTAGATAAATGAATCTTGCTTAAATTTACTTTCAGGAAAAGGTTAACATTATATAAAGTATTTATATAATGGAACTACTAATATCCTTGAAGAAAAAAAAATATAATGCTTAAATTTCTTTTCAGGGAAAAATCTGACATTATATAAAGTATTTATATAATGGAACTACTAATATCCTTGAAGAAAAAATATAAAACAAAATGATCATTAAGAAAATTCTAGAGGTAGAATAATTAAGAATATTCTAGATCATACAATACTTATTTTTTTAAGAAAGGTTTACCAAATGGTAGAAATCATAGGTTTAGAAGATGCTCCAAGTCACCAAGGGAAGAAAGAATGGAGTCACTAACCTTGTTATTGGAAATATCCCTGGAGAAAATGTCAAGTAAAATAATGGTGAAGCAAATTATAGAATATCAAAATGTAAAGAAAAATAATGGTTAAGTAAATTTAAGTAGTAAGAACATTAGAATATTCTAGATCAATTTAAACTTACAGAGTATCCAAATTGTTGATTTGGGACAAATCAATTGGGATGAAACCATTAAGACAACTGGGATGAGGCCCATATAAATGATCAACCTAAAGGAATGAGAAATCCATCATATGGATGGCCGAACCCTACAGGAAGGTAGGGCGAAATTTTAAAAATTTCTCTCTCTCCCATGTGGGAATCACATTCCCTGTTTTAGAAAAACTGCATTTTTCAAAGATCAATCTTGAACCAAGAACCGAACCAG